TTTTAAGTAAAATTTATTAGCTAAATCTTATTGATGATTAAGGCTAATCCGTGTTTTTCAGATACAGTGTAATTTACATGGTTTTAAGAGGGATATTAATGATCATTTGATAAATCTATTTAAAATCGTCGAATGAATTTATTGAAGTTTGTCCTATTTTATATTATAAATACCATAATCACCAAATCGATCTATTTATCGCAGCTCAATCTCAAACAACACAACTTTAGAGATTAAGGATGAAATGATTAATTGGGATTTTGTTTGATTTTTATGTCAATCGATGATATACAAACGTGTTAATTAAGCTTATTTTATATGTTTTGTATTTGATTATAGAAAAATTAGTATCAACAATACTAATTGTGATTTTTTAAAGAAAAAATTAGATTTTTTTTATTTTATTTTAATAAATAACATAATAGAACATGAATTTTAGTTGTTAAATTTAAAATATTTAATATTTTATTTTTAATTGAAATATTTTTTTATCTAAGTATAATATTTTAAATTTAAAAAATTTAAATATTACACACTACAAATTTTAGGAGTCTCTGTTATCGCACATTAACAACTATACTAACAGTAGGAGTCTATATGTTATACACTTATAAATTTTAGAGAATTTTTATATAATATTTTAAAATAAGCAATGTTATTATGACTTAATTTAATGACATAATTTATTGACCTAATTCACCGTAAATCTTATCAAACATTAAAATTTGATGTTAATCTAATAATTTTTATAAAATTATATTATTATTTTAATAAATTAAATCAAATTTTTACGTCTAAATAATATTACACTTTTAAAATTGAGAACATCTAAGTAATTTTTTTTACAAATCTCAACCAAATATAATTTTCCCTTTAATTTAGCATAAATATCTGACTTTTGGCTTTGCCCTAAATCGTTCCCAGCCCCTGCGGTCGTAGTCTTTGCCTCTGCCTCATCCCGTCCTCTGCGCCTCTGCCTCTTCGTCTTCGTTTTGGCGACGGTGGACGTTCATATCACAGCCATCTCCAACTTAAGTCTCTCTCTCTGAGTCTTGATCGAAGTGGAAGAAAAATCAAAATGACTATCGATCACAGCTCCATCGAGGCATCGACGACTACCAGCAGCAGGTATATACTCTCTCTCTCGTTCAGTCGTTCTCTATATCGTCTCTCTACTCTCTGACTCTGTATGCTATATCTGATTTTTGGTTTGCATTTTGTATACAGTATTGAATATACATTGAATCTTTGATTGATAATCCTATATTTTATAAATTGTACTAATAATAAAAATAACATATTTTTCTACAAAGTCAACACATCCGAAGATCATGACCCAACAGCCAATTAAACATTTAACATTGAAAGTATTACTTACATTTTAGCTGATTCGAAGAATAACTGGTAATTGAGTTGTTTATGTTATGCTATTTTCTATATATAGGTCTTACTTATAAATAAGTCTTATATATATTGGCATCTCAGCTGCACCATTATACAAGATCAAAATGTGAGTCACAGTGGCATTTTACTTGCATCAATGTTTTTAAGTATTATCCTGCAGAAAATCATGGCCAAAGAAAGAAGAAAAATAGGAGAAAGTTATTCTTGTAAAACCCAATTTTGTTTGGGGCGTGTTTGGATTGTATATCAGAAATCAGTACCCAAAAATAATTTTTGGAAAGAGTTCTAAGGAACTATGTTTTGGTGTTTTTTGAGACGAATAACTTGTTTGATTATATAATTTCAAAAATAGTTTTATAGAAAATAAACCAATAAAATACAAAAAAAAAAAAAAAAAAACCAGAGGGAATTGAACATTACTTCACAATCTCTCTCCTCCACATCCATAGAAGCTCTCTCTGCATCAATGGTGGACTCAACAACCAGCCCCGAAACAACCATAGATCTCACTTCCCAATAGCCCGAACCTAGATCTGAAGGAGATCAACCCAGATCTGAAGAAAACTTGACCAAAAACGTTGAAAACCCTTTCACTGGAGATCGTCAGAGAAAATCCAGATCTGAAGCTGGCTAGAGAGAGAGAGAGACAGAGAAGCCCATGCTTTATTTTTTGCAGTTCATATTTATCCAAATTTATTTTACTTTGATCCAATGGCAGAGATTAACTTGGAGAGATAAGCATATCTCTAGCGACTAAAGGCAGAAGCAAATTTTTCCTAGATCCAATAATTCCGATCAAATTTGCAGGCTTTATAAACTACATCCAGCAATCTGGTAAGGTACTTGTAGACCCAAATTTTTCGATCAAATCCTCTTATGTTTTTTTGTGAAATTCAAAATGCTTTGAGGAGTTTCTCTTTCTGTCCCTTCTACCTCTTTCCTGTCCCAATCCCCCACCTCCTACACTACTCGCTCTCTGTCCGAAACCCCCACCATCAAAACCCCCCTATCCCAGTCACGCCACATTAGCGTTTTTAAAATCGGGATCGTAGAAAAATATATGTAGTAATACAAAATTCTCAAAAGCAAGACTTAAACAAGTCTAATATTTATGCAAATAGGAACATTACAATAAAGACCAAACTTAAGGTGTCATTGAAATTTGATAAACTGTAATTTGAACATTAAAGAACGACTAAGATCAAAGACGGATTGTTAATCTTGTGAGGTTGTGCAAATTGCAAAGTGAAATTAAAAAATTCAAGTATTTTTATCTGTACTTTTAGAGAAGAAATAAAGAGTAGACTAGAAAATTGAAAAACTGTTAGATAATAACTTTTGGCTATTAACATTTAAACAAAAAAGCATGAAGAAATAAAAATAAAAGACCATTTGGCTATGATCACTCACTATGAGATAAAATTAGATCCAACCATTGTTTTCAACTTTTTAAAAGAGAGACAAACGAAAAAAAATATATTTTTGAAAAATAAACTTCCTATAGGTTTTCCTATCTTTTGAAATTTTCACATTTGCATTGACTACTTAATTATAAAAACCGAAAAATATGGATTGAATTGCTGGGTAAATAAATATGCTTACCAAATAAACTCAACAATTTGGATCGATAAAGTCGCAGTTCGGATCGAGATATAAGATCCACATCACGATTCTTTAAGATCCTATGAATTTGGGATTCTATGTGAGACACAGATCAATTTGCTTATATTGGATCGGAAGATCCTAGGATTTGGATTGAGATTTTGATAACCATGCGCCACACACATTCTCTTCACACACACACCGGACACTCTGGCACACTTGATAAAGGAATTCACTCATTCACACATATGGCCAATTACAATGTATTTATGAATTCACTCTCAAACATATTTGATATATATATAAAGGGCGCGAGCCCAATAAAACCGATATTGGTTTGGGCTTAGGTTCAACCCAAACCAAAGTCACGTAGTTGGGTTGATTTAACTCTGCTAATGTGAATTCATTTCTCCAAGCACTCGAAGCATGCTTATATTCATATATTGTCATCTTCTTTGTTGCCATGAATCTCATCTAAATAAGAGAGCAACAACAGATGAAAGTAAATTTTGGTACTTGTTAGGTAGGAAGTACAAAGCAAGAGAGAGTCCTTCAAATTATTCAGTTCCTTGTCGGTGCCAATTCGATTCCTAAGATTGATAGCGAGAGATTCTTGGAATAATATCCAATTCCAATGGGTTAGAATTAAATTGTTGAGGAGGGTGGATCTAAATACCCACATCTACACTTATATCCATTTTTGACCATCAAGAATTTGGAACCCTCACTGTCTCACCATCGTCTTCTACTTCTCCAATCTCTTCTCTCTCTCTCACACGGTCATCAATGCCCAAATCCAGTTCATTCTCTATGCTCTCAACTGCAATTTGATCCTCAACTTTCACCTCTACTTCTCAATTCACCGTTTCTGTGATCGGAGTTCATCTATCTCACTCGTAGTCGCAACAGGTAACTCATGGTCTCACTTCATTTTTCTCATTTCTGTAACCGAACGAGTGTCCGAAATTATCAGTCTCAAGACTCTCACCTGTTTTCCGAATGGTTGAAATTAATTTGGTTGCTATTGTTCTTGGTTTGCTATAGTTCATTCTCAATTCTCGCTATGGGCATTTGAAATTGAAAGCTTGGATGCAGATTGCAATGATTTGCTCTTTCTCCTCATTTATCTGTAATGGGCCAATGGCAGTGGGTTCAACCATTCAAGTGTTCAACACCTGGTTTCAATTGCACCTCAAAATGAGTTTAACATTCAATTAATGGAATTAGGTTCGAATAAACTTGCGAATTTTAGGTCTATGTTTCTGGATGAGTCCCAAATAAATGTTGAATTCTGATTTCGAAATATGATTCTGAATACTGATATTTATTCTGTTTTTGTCTGTGGGGTTCTATTATACATAAAATATGTTACTTTTATGATTAGTACAATTTTTAGCACATTTATGATGGTTCCAACAGGTGACTATGAGTGACCCAATAACCTGGGCTATTTGCCGGCTTGTGGCTAGCCCGGGTTTAATAATTATGGTTTTTGTAACCAAATTGCAAGTAACGACAAGAATGCCCAGGCCAAATATAAGGAAAAAAAATAATTGGAGTGCTACATTTAACTGCTTTTTTAGTCTTCAAGAGCAAGTTCTTTGTTGCAACATTCATACTTCCATGTTGTTCCTTTTGATTTCATGATTTCAAGACAAAGCATTGAGATACTTATTATAATCCTTATGATTGTTTTGGAGAAAAACATTCACTAAGAAAAATGGATTGAGGCATAAGCTCTTGGTAATTTGTGATATACAGTTTCCTTATCCTCCTTTGTATGTAGGATCAGGTTGTTGAGGTCATTTGGTAGTCAGGTTCCTGCAACATGACTGCGACACTCGTTGATCTCTATCTCTGTCAAACACAACCCTCCCCCATTTTTGCAACATAGTTGGCATGTTGATTGTGTAATGTTATATCTCTTGTTCAGAATGTTGATTTGTTTTGAGTTGACCATTCTTCTTATTTATTCAGTTTTAACTACTATGTTTCAGGATTTTGAACCTGAAATTGCTGCCCTTATTATTGAAATCACTTTAAGAGAATTTTGAAGAAAAGTGAAGGTCTCCAAAAGTGGGTTTATCAGAAGATTTTTAACAAAGTGGATATGTCCGACTTTTATTTGTTATAAAATAAGAATGGGGAGTCTCGGAAACAACCTCTCCCCTTGAGGGGTAAACTGCATACATCTAATCCTCCCCAGAACCTACAATGACGGAAGCCTCGTGCATTAAATACACCCTTTAAAAAAAGAATGGGGAGCACAAATTTTCCAAAGCGCTACGTAATTGTCATTTTGACCTTCTTCTGCACTTGTGTATGCTACATAGAACGTGTGGGCTTCTCAATCGCATATACTATTGCTGCTGATGCTGCAGGGGTAAACCAGTCGAACAAAGGCATGATACTTTCCACATTCTATTATGGATATGCTTGTTCGCAAGTGCCTGGTGGATGGGCAGCTCAGAAAATTGGGGGAAGGCGTGTTCTTCTCCTCTCGTTTGTATTATGGTCTCTAACATGTGCTTTAGTACCGCTGGACCCAAATCAGGTGATTATTTTGGTAATTGCACGCTTACTCGTTGGAGTGGCTCAAGGATTCATCTTCCCCTCCATCCATACTGTCCTAGCACAGTGGGTACCACCGCATGAAAGGTCAAGGTCTGTTTCTCTTACGACATCTGGAATGTACTTAGGTGCAGCTGTGGGAATGCTTGTACTTCCAAGCGTAGTGAAATTTAGGGGTCCTCAATCTGTATTTGTTGCTGAGGCAGCTCTAGGTGCCATGTGGTCTCTGCTTTGGTTCAAATTTGCCAGTGATCCACCTCGTTCTGAGCATCCAAAGGCAACTGCTGCTGGTTTTGGGGAATCTTTGCTGCCTATTAAAGGGAGTCAGAAGATGAAAACAGAGAATGGAGGACATATCATTAGAACTCCCCAAATCCCATGGAAGAGAATTATCCTCAGCTTGCCTGTTTGGGCAATTGTTGTGAACAATTTCACTTTCCATTATGCTTTGTATGTTCTGATGAACTGGCTGCCCACATACTTTGAGTTGGGCCTTCAGCTCAGCCTTCAAGACATGGGTTCTTCTAAGATGCTGCCTTATCTCAACATGTTTGTGTTTTCTAATGTTGGTGGTGTGATTGCAGACCACTTGATCACTAGAAGAATATTGTGCGTGACTAAAACCAGGAAGGTTTTGAATACTATAGGATTCGTAGTAGCTTCTTTTGCATTAATGGCTCTTCCCCTCTTCAGGACCTCTGGTGGAGTTATCTTTTGTTCCTCTGTGGCTCTTGGGTCTTTGGCACTAGGGAGAGCTGGGTTTGCAGTGAACCACATGGATATTGCTCCGAGGTATGCTGGCATTTTGATGGGTGTTTCTAATACAGCTGGTACATTAGCTGGCATTATTGGGGTCGATCTAACTGGCCGGCTTCTTGAAGCTGCTAAAACTGCTCAGCTGGATCTTTCTAGTCCGGATAGCTGGAGAGCCGTGTTTTTTATACCGGGGTTGCTCTGCATTTTTAGTTCTTTGGTCTTTCTACTATACTCAACTGGGGAGAGAATTTTTGACTGAGGTAATGTTAAATGCGTCATGCTTCTTTATATTGTCATATGGTAGACATCGTAATAGAGATACGCATGCTAGTAAATCCCTCTGATGTTCAGCATCACCGTTTGTCAGCAGGAATATATGTCAGGTTCTACAAGCCCAAAAGATCTGAAGTAGTTAGCATAGCATTAGCTAATACAAGTCATTGGTAAAATTTGTCAAAAAAATTCTTTTGAAGCTTGTTCGGTTTTTTATTTTTTATTTTCATCATTTATATCACAAGTGAAAGGACTTGTTCAGACGGATGAACCTTGAAATTCTATTTAGATGTGATGTACGAGCGGTGTAGCTGCAATTGTCCGACTGTTATGGCGGATTAAACTCATTGGTTCTGCGGTGCTATGCACTCTGATAGGGTCTACAAAGCAACTAGACTCCTTGGGTATCGTTAAGCTTATTAAACATTATACTTGTAACTGACTTGACTTGGGAACTTGATGCCCCAAATACAATTTTTTGTAATTCATTTTTAGATATTTAAGAAGATTTTGATTTCATACTGTTTCTTTGAATTGGTTGAATATGGGATTGAAAGTTCATTTGTCAGATGATGCAAAGTTGTAGGGTTGTTATATTTGGCCTTGTGTTGTATGTGGCAATCGATTTCCACGCTTTGTTCTGAATGACCTTGAGGGTGTAAGCTCTAACTCATTATCTGTTAATATCGTATGGAAATTAGCAGAAAACTAGGTTTTAGGGCTAGATTTGTGTCAAAATCCAAGGCATAAAAATCAGTATTTTAAATATCAATCAGGCTCGGCGGGTTGACCTGGTGAACCGGAGCCTAAATCAGGCCAGTTTAGCTCTTGGATTGTTCAAGCAAATGAACCGGATAAAACTTGCTAAACTGGCCGGTTTTGTGACAAAATTGCTAAATCGGACGGTTTAAAAAACCTGGATGGTCTAATTCAAATGCTATAAAAACAGGTTCTAGGGCATTTTTGCCCAAATTTCATTTAATTTCTACCTTTGCTGACTATTTCTCCTTGACTCCAACGAGGCAACTGGTCGCTCAGTCTTCTCTATCTCTCTCTCTCACACACAAACGCGCGCACACACAGAACAATAGCCCATCACTCAATTGAAAGCTTGAAGTGTTCAGATTCCTCGATTCAGTTTCTTCGCTAACAACACTACAACAAATCTTCGACGATCAGATATTACGTTTCTCTCTCTCTCCTTGTTAGTCTGCTATTACATTTCAGAATTAATTGATTTGTATTTGTATAATTTTTGGCCTATTTCAATTAATTATGAGGTTTAATTAATTGTGGGTTATTGGTTTTGATACTCTAACTTTACAAAGTTGTATAGGAAATTGAATGGATTGGATATATGTTTAATGATTTTAAGTTTTTTGTTTGATCTAATATATATTAATCATGTTATTTTCATAATTATTGTGATTGTTTAGCCTATTTATAATTATTTTTTATTTTTTTATTATATCACCGATTCGACCAGTGACTCATTGACCTAGTCCCTTCCTTGGATTGATGTTTAGGCCGAAGTTTTAAACTATGATAAAAATAGTTGGGAACAGTAGATATTTCCAAGAATCGCTAATCTCTTTTACTCATTCCTCAATCGATAAAATCATTAAATTGGTTGTGGGTTTCAATATTTATCGGGATTTATTGTCAATCTAATAATTATAAATGATTAAGTCAATAAATTAGGCCCGAATAGCATTACTCAAATTTTAGTTACCGAAAAGAAAAAGAACTTAAATGAATATTCACAAAGATATCAGGGTAGATTTTGTTGTGAAAGGAACCATTTTACTTACCAAAGAATTTAATAGTAATGGAGTATGGCCCATGAATCATGCGGGTCGCAAATGGGATGGTTTGGAACAATTTTGCGTATAATATGGAGACTCACTTCAGTTATTTACTTTATTCAAATTACTAGCGAATTATCGGGATACTTAAATAATATAAGAAGACTCACCTCAGTTAAGCTTAGACGAAAGTTTTTCCACAATACTATATGATTGAATCTGTCAATCTTTTAATCACACAACATGGCATGCCATTGAAAATTTACTATTTACACTTCTTTTTTATGGTATTGGTATTCATTTTTATTCTGCGCTCTAATTTAAATATTTCTCTCTCTATCTAGTAGAATAGTAAAATTATTGGGTAAATTTTATTCACATTTTTGTAAATAGGCCTAATTTCAATAAGATCCTTTTCTTTTTCTAAAATTTCACTGATACGCCAAATAATCGTGTGCGTTGAGTAAAAGACCTAACAAAATGGACTATTTTACTAATTTACCCGTGTTTTATATATAAAGTATGCCAATGGATATATACAGTAGATATATGGATATGCATGTATGACAACAAGCAAAAGACTATTAGTCGCTGCCCCTCCCCACTGCCACCCACTCCGACCTCTTTTGCCCCCCCACTCCAACCTCCTCCGCTACCCTTTGTTCTCGGACATATCACCCCGACCACCCTACTCGTCCTTCTCTGCCGCTTCCTCCTCTCTCTCTCTCTTTTCATATACACCAATTTGTTATAACCACCCACACGCTTTCTCTCATCCCCAAATATTTTTCTCTCCCCCCATCTTTTATCACAGTGGGTTGGTTCCAATTTCGGTTGAATTTGGGCCCATCACCTAACATTAAAGCTTGAAGAGCACAAATGTAATATGTTTTTAGCAACGGTTGTCACCATGCTCCACACACAAGTTCCAACAATCAACAACAACCCACAACCATACAAAACCACCTCACCATAACCCCAAGGACCACCTTCACCTAGCTAACTAAACCCCTAATTGAATTGTAAACCCAAAGTTCGAAGAATCCAAGAAGAATTAAAGCATGTGGAGAATAATTATCAGAATATTCACTCTCAAAGATTAAGGCATCCTTTAATTGTAATTACCTTTTGTAGTTATCCTCCCCCAAAAATTAGTGTCTTTTCCCTCAAGTCACCATCTCAACTCAACTAAGGTTTTGTATCTATAAATTGTAAGTTCTCTCAATTGAGAAGAGCATCTCTACACCTCTCTACACACCCCACATATATTTTCTCTCTCCTAACTATTATATCCCTCTCGGAGCTAACTATTACTCTCTCTCTCTCTCTCTCGTTCACTTTACTTTATCAATAAAGGTTCTCCGGCCACCGTTACCGTTTTTTCGGAATGGAGTAGGTCATCCGTACCGAACCACTATATATCTATGTGTTGACCTAATATTTATATTATTGTCATTGATTGTTCATTTAATTATTCATTAATTACACTTTATCACACCCAACTGTTAATCTTACATGCGTCTTTTTTTTGCATCATCATTAACAATTCTAATCTTCTCTCTCATGTTTTTTGTATTGGTAGGCCCCAAAAATTCCCAAAGGTTGCCTTGGATGTGGCGGTCTACGGTGCACGTTGGTGGTAAGTTCACAGTTGGTTGGGTGGTGCGTGAAGTTGTTTGAATTTATATTTCTATTCAATCAAGTATATTATTCCTATCCGAATTTGATTCAGTACAATCGGATAGTAAGTCAGGTAGGAAATCAAGGGAACACATATTTTTTAGTTATTAATTTTTAAATTATTTTAACAATTTAATTAAGTAAAATACACTAATTAACTAAAACAATAAACCAATAACACTAAAAAACACAATAAATTCAATAATTTATAAACAATTATAATGAAACATAACAAGAAAGTCATAAACATCAATACATCATATATAAAATAATCATAAACATCAATAAAATATTATAATTTCTAGATTTTAATTTTTAGTGAGATATATATACACACACACACGGGTAGGGTAAGAATATGAAAATTTTGTAAATATTTCGCATTCCTATCTAATTTGTTACAGAATATCAAAAGATTTTTTGTTGACCTACCCAATTCTTTCGGTAGCCGATCACTAAGATTGGGTAAGATAAAATAGGATTGGAATTTGCAGGCAATCAAAAATTTAAACACTCCAAACTCTGTCTATGGGTGTGGCAGAAAAAGACTATAATGCAGAGAGAAAAGGAGAAGGGGAGGTTAAAGGAGTGTATTTTAAAAGGGTATTCTAGTTATTTTTGGAAAAATATTGTGTGATACCAGCATTTTTTATTTAGAAAAAATTTCAGTTATAGCTCCTCTAATTTATCATATTTTCAATCCTCTATTTTTTAAATTTTCACTAACACTCCTTGTCAAATTGAAAGATTGTTTGGGGTTTATATAGAGATAATTTTAGTATTTTAAATAATTTATTTTTGTTATAAATAGTAGTTTAATGACAGAGGGTGTTAGTGATGTTTAAATATAAATTAAAAAGGATATTAATGATGTTTTTAACAATAGAGGAGATGTCCTTGAAAATATAATAAATCAAAAGGGGTGTAACTTAAATGGCAATGATGTCAATTTGTCTTTTGCTACACATCTCAAACAGTTGATCACAAAATATAGTATCTTTGTATTACTTTAAAAGGTATACAGTTAACGCTTCGACCACCGGCTTTCCTTCTAGCTTGGTGGTTGTGGGTCTAAATTCTGACCCCAGGTTGTGGGTTCAAGGGCTGGTAGAGAGAGAGAGAGAAGAGAGAAAAATATGAGGTATTCTAAAATACCTCTCTTTTGTTATTTCTTCTTCTCTTTTTCTAGAAATTTGCTACAGGATTGAATACTACAAACAGAAGCTCAATTGATTGAATTAACATAAGGTATTATTTAGTGAAATATCATTATGAATCGAATGTTTGATTATAAGTGGATTTATATATCATCATTTGATCTGTTAGATAAATAGATCAAATTCAATAACATTAATATGATTCGTATGAACTTAGATTTGTTCCGAATTTGATCCATTGACAGGTCAATATTATTAAGTTAGACTTTAAAAAAAAATAAAACACCAAAAAAAAGAAAGTATGTAAAAATAATTTTACGGAGTGGTATCTTGATAATTACTTT